AGAGACGTACTCATACGCACCAGGGTTAGGCCTGAGAGAGAAACCCCCCCGCGCCGCCACAGCAGAAACAGAAATATGAAAACTCAATGAGAAGCCACTTATACTCATACACCTCCCCCTTATCACGAGCGTGTGAGGCGTCGGAAAGCCTAGGCTGGATTTACCCGACTCGATGGGTGACTCGATGGGTTGTGAAAAGTGAGATGGGAAAGGTAAAAAAATAATAATAATGAAATAATATAAAAAAAAAAAGCACGGTGCCGCAAAAGCACACCTCGTCGACCAGGAAAAATTATGGGTCCCAAAGGTGGAGTGTGTGGGATAACTTGGTGGAAGAGGAAGGGGTGTGACGGGCGGGTCGAGGGCCCGGGCGCTACCGCACTTCTTCCACCTTCTCGATTCAAGTGGTTCCCCGAAGGTGGATTTCCCCCTCCGGCTCTGTCTAGCTCTGCTTGGGGCTTGGTGATGGCAGGGGTGGGTCGGCTGGAAGTAGGGCTCCGATGGGATGTGATAGGATGTGATGATGGGATGAAATGGAGGGAAATTTACTCGAGCACTGGAAAGAGAATAAAAAGAAAATAAACAACAGGGAATCAACCCCACAATCATGAAGGGAAAGGGAAGAAAAAAAAAGAAAAGGGGACGACGGAAGGGCAGGCGCGAGTACCCGAGCAGGGATGAGAAGGCAAAAAGCAAAGAAGCAAAAAATAGGCAAATAAAAATTTGAAAAAGTGAAAAAAAAAAAAGCCAAAAAAGAAGCCAAGAAAAAAACTTGAAAACTTTATCGCTCGTCCGAACCGGGGCTGGTCCGCCGGTATGATATATGCGGTATCATAAATTTACCTGGACCAAGTCTTAAGCTTGAGTCCCGGATTGCCCGCGTCCACTTGCTTCCCTTTCCTGCGAGAAAACACGCCACAGTAGAACTTTCAGGGAGATAATCTCGGCCCGGTAGAGTGCTCGAGCGCAGATAGGTATTGCATTTCACGAGTAGAGCACTGATCATCCCTTAGGTCACAGATGATGGCCAATCCTTAACTTTCTCTCCCCCCCCAAAAGAAACCCCATCAACCTCCGTAGGGGCGTGAAGACTTACTGTGGTCTGCTCCATGTGCTCTTCCCTACCAAGCACACAAGTACCTCGGTGCATAAACGCTTCTATGCAATACCAAATGTTTCTTACAGGCATTCTGAAAATTTTTACCGCCCGGGGAAAAAAAGGAAATAGAGTTCGCTGTGAAACTTGCAGTGCTGTACCGTACTCTACCGGTGAAAGGGTGAAAAAAAGGCTTGATAATCCACCAATAAATCCCCCAACACAAAATGCACCGCCCACATCTCGAATCCGTGAGCAGTGTCGACCTTGGCTCGGCACCGCTTTACCATAATGTCCTCCATGCCCTCCAGTTCAATGGACAAACAAACAAAAAACACTATGACTACGCCCGTACCCTGTTGCCCCAACCTTCCCCCGACTGCCCCCTGATGCACCAATTAGCGTCGTACCTTGAAATCCGGGGAGAAAAGACTCATCTAAAAAATTGCTAGGGTCGGTCTCATGCGAGACACGACCCTTATTCCATCCACCATATCACCCCCCCACTAGCACCAGCCCCAGCGGAACTACCACGATCTGCCTTCGCCCCCTACGGTGATCTCCCTCGCCTCTACACACATGATCGCCATCGCCTTTTCTACGACACATCCCAATTCGTAGACTCCCATGAATCTGCTCCCTCCAGAGAAGGAGGATGAGTACGGACGAGCACGGAGCTCTGACTTGCACATGTGTGTGTGTCCCGTCCATCCAACTCCTCTGGCACTTGCGAGAATATGGTGGAGATGGATGGCTAGCGGTTGAGGGTGAAGGGAGGAAACGAGGGGACTATCAGCGGATCACCGGTAGGTAAACACCATCATCTCCGATCATTTATTTGAACCCACGTCACACAAAATTTCTTTCGGTCGTCACTCCTGTCTACCATCTGCTCTCTCCTACATCCCGAGATATTCACGGCGATGCCCGTCATTCCTCAAAACGTATGTCCCGCATCTTTCGACCAAGGGTCGAAAAGAACATTATCGGATAAAGGCTCTCGTCATGTCCGATACGGCGCCAGGCTCTCATGAGACTCCGTATGTGATAGCAGAACCCCCAGGGACGTCTTTGTTTTCTCTCCGACTCACTGGTGAGCCGAAGGCGCGGACAAAAGCCGACGTCCAGAAAGCCGCGTAGTATGGTATGATTCGGCCCTTCCTCAACAAGTTCCCAGGAACACAGAGGAAAGAGGCCCATGTCGGTGCTTGCCATAGTCATTAAGAGTTGGCAATTAACGCAGATGGCTAAGTCTATCGCTTGCGAGAACTGACAAAGACGTCAAGTCTCAATCAGGTGAAGGGGGCGGGAATAGATCAAGGATGATCACGATGAGAGCAAAGATCGGGGATAAGCCAAACTTTGCAAACACAAAGTATGGATGGACCTGAAGGGATTGCGATGTGAAGTTTGATATGCGAGACTTCCCATTCCGGAGCGTGACGACATGCCATCTTTTTGACAACCGAGGTTTGCTTCCGTATGTAATCACAAGAAGGTTCGCTATGTACGCAATGTTTCCACATGGGCAGTACAGTGCCGACGATAGCCTTCGAGGAGGTTTCATGCATCTATTCAATTGAACAGATACGAAAGAAGCAAGACCTGATGTCCGTTTGTGGGGCAATTTGCAGTCCGAGTCGTGCTCATAGAAAAGCCAAGCCTTCACACACAATCCCTAACGGGATCATTGATTGACAATGGCCGTCAAGCCTCCCCACCACCAATCTCAGCCCCCAAGGGCCCAGCACCAGTAAGCTTCGGAGACGGCAAAAGCCGTACAGAGAAACTGCCCTCACAGACCATACATTCAACCGAGGCAGAAATGTACCCAGAGCCGAGCCCAACGGAAGCACTCAAGGCCGAGCCCGAAAAGATCAGACGGCGGGTGCTCCACATGTAGGCAATCTGCGAAGCACATGACTAAAAACTTAGGGTTAAGTTCCGATACCGCGAGTGAAAATAGTCAACAAAGCAAACTCAACACCGAACACATTTCCCATTGGCGACAAACGGCCGGGAATTGGTTGAGGAGAATGCCAGGACGTAAGCTTTCCTCAAGAAACGAATTCCTTGCCGGGGTATCGAGAAACCATAGGGGGGGTTGGACTGCATTGTTATGTAATTGCCTCAAAGGAGACGAGTCGGAGAGCGATGGCGCCGAAAGAACAGGAACGAAGAACGCGGGAACTGGATTTTTGGTAATGGAGATGAGGTAAGGCTACCGAGAGATTTAGGTTGGAAAGCAGAGGAGAACAAGAGAGGGACAAGAGAATAATGTGGGTGGAATAGGGATGATCGGTTGGATGATGGGTGGCTGAACATGGTCCAGTGGTGATGGTATGCGGGTTGTGTGGAGGTGAGAAAAAGGGGAGGAAGGGAAAAGCAGAGGAAAGTGGAGCAGATGGGGTGGGAGGACGCGTCTTGATGGTTGTCACGCGCTGCGATAAACGTGACTTGTCATGACTCCAATACGGGAACTAACCAGAAATAGCCTAGTGAAATGATGGCAAAACCGTTAGGGTCAAGTGACTCTGGTGGCGCTGGATCGGTGCTTAGTGACCTTTGAGTGTGGCCTGTGCACGGCTTCGTCGTTGTGTGGCTAGTGAGATGCGGGGCAAAATGTCAGCCTCATTTTCCCCTCCATGGTAACCCTAGAGGGGAAAATCGATCGCACAGCAAAAAAAAAAAACAGACTCGTTCCAGCCAAACATTGTCAACGTTGCATTTTGCAATAGCCTAGTCACAGTGTTATAGAGCCCGTTAGTTTTTCATCCAAAAGAGCCTTCAATAGTTCCATCGCCTCTCCGCTCCCATTCGACGCTATATCAGTATTAGAATTACACAGAAAGCACTTTTCGCCTTGTCAACTCATCCCGTTTGATCTGCCATCTCCCCTGCCCTCTGCCCTATCTGCCCCCTCCCCCTCCTCCTCCTCCTCTTCCCATCTTGTCACCTTCTCATTCACTTCACCTTCCAAGTTCGCATCTGCCCCACTCCTTACAGCGCTTATCTATCTCATTGCACTTCCTTTGTCGCAATTACAACTCCCCGGTTGCCGGACCATGGATGCCCACCAGCCGACGGACCCTGGCGCGTCTCTTTGGTATATCGGTAATCATCTTCCAACTCCTGATCTTACGATAAGCGGCCAGACCCTAGAAGATGAGACCGCTCAAGGTGTAAGTCGCTATTATGCCCCACACTCTTGTCGACAGACCGCCAATATTGACCGATCAAACTAGTATGATATGATCACCACATTCATAACCAATACCAATTTCCGTTCTCGCATTAACCAGGTATTATTGAACGCTACAGCAGAGAAGAGAACACACATGAGAATCGATTCCCTCGATGCTGAAGAGGTCACAGTTCATCCTGGTGATCACATATCACAAGTTATTGGCTTTGTTTCCCCGTGGTTGGAATTTGACTCGGATGATCTACTTGTCTCTCACGTTTCAAAACAGGCTTTACTCTACGAACTTGATTATGCCGGCTTTTGCGGTATTGGAAATGTGGTGATTTCTGGGCCTCGCAAGAAGGAAAATGTCCCGCGGTTCGCGCAGATCATCAGTACAGCACTATCCGCCAACGGCTATGCCCACTTACTGATCCTTTTACCTCTGGCCGAGAAACCCTCTTGTACGGCTGAGGGAGACGAGTATGATGAGTTTTCAGCTTGGGATACGTGGAACACAATCAGGACAGTATGCAAGTACAATCCTCGACTGTCTTTAGGTCTGCACCTCTCGAATTAAATTGTTTGTCCTAATTGCTCACCAACCGCGCGCACAGCACTTCAAATTCCGGCAGAATTGCCTACCCTCCATGTGATCAATCGTTGGTTTGCCGAGCCTATACGCGTCGTGCTGCTATCTTCTTCAACCTTTAGTCCCAATCCAACAGGATACCCTGCTCTTTCTAAGCTTCACCAGGCTCTATTAACAAAATATACCAAGCAGCGCCCAACACCCTTTATTCTGCTATCGGATCAGCGGGTGGTCGTTAATGAGAAGGTTCGGTATGAGCCAACATCATATTTGGTTTATATAAGGCATCTGCAAAAGAACCAGCCTCCACAATCGACAGTGGAGAGATATAGTTCCGGCTATCAAGACTACCTCCAAACACCGCTGCAACCATTATCTGATAATCTCGAGAGCATCACGTATGAGGTGTTCGAGAAGGATCCAGTCAAGTATGATCAATACGAAAAGGCCATTAAATTGGCGCTTGATGCAAGAGATGCTGCAAGTAGCACGTTAGTCGCCCCTTCTCTCATACTTTTGGCCGATTGGTCATTTCGCGCCTTTCAGCTGTTTAATATTCAGTATGTGATCATACCAATGCTCCTTGTGGTAATGTCCGTGTCTCACTCGGCGGCTATGCGGGCTATCATGGCTTCCGTCCCTTTGCATATCAATCTGCCGAACGCTGGGGCTTCAAGGATTGCTTGCATTTTCTACGCTGTTTCCCTGATCGCCTTGTTTTCGCTCCCCCCGTGGTCTAGATGAAAGGCTAAAATTTGTGCTTCTGTTTCTCCCTCCATGCAGCGTGGTGGCAGTAGTTGGCGCGGGTCGTGGGCCCCTTGTGTCCCGGGCGCTGCGAGCCGCCCAGGCTTCTGGCAGGGCGATCATGCTCTTTGCTATCGAGAAGAATCCAAACGCCTACGTGCACCTGCTTCGGCACAACCGGGACACGTGGAATGGGCAGGTTACAGTGATTAAGAGTGATATGCGGTCGTGGAATCCACCTTTTGCTGTAGATATCCTAGTATCAGAGCTACTTGGGAGTTTTGGCGACAACGAACTAAGTCCCGAGTGTCTGGACGGGGTGCAGAGGGTATTGAATCGTGAGTCACAATTCCTTAAATTCCTTGTGCATCCCACTTCCCACTTCCCTCGCAGTGCCCCCTATATTTAGCCCCTCATTCTTCACCTCCGCAGTGGGGGCGAGTCCAGTAACAAAAAAGGCGGGTATCCTCACCGAGAAGCGGTAGTTTTTTTTCTTTCTTTTTTCCATTTTCCCCTTTCTGATTATTTCGAGTTTCCTGATTAATTTAAATAAAATTTTCCGCAATTTTTTCTCTCGAACCGATGTTACGCTGAATGCCTCGCTTACGCCATGACCAGCATCCGGAGGAATATCAATCCCTGTCTCATATTCAGCCCATTTTACACCAATCATGGCACCCAAAATCCATGCTGACATATCCTCACGGAAGAATGATTCCGAAGCGGCCGAGACGCCATACGTTGTCATGCTACAATCGTTTGAGATGCTTGCTGAACAGAAGTACATTCACCGGGCTTGGGAATTCACACACCCTTTACCGCCCAACGTTCTTAGCGACTCTGCCGCCCTCGGTGGAGGTCTCATTGGGCTCGGCGATGGAGGAAATGATCATAATGCGAGGAAGTGCAAGGCCACGTTCAAAGTGCCCAGGAGGGGTGTTGTGCATGGGCTTGCGGGGTACTTTGAGAGTGTGTTGTACGGCGATGTGGAGCTCAGCACGAGACCGGACACAATCGATATGAAGTCCAAGGATATGATCAGTTGGTTCCCAATCTTTTTCCCATTAAAGGTACGTAGCCTTATCTTCTCCGTGGGCTTTGCCCGCCATCGTCTCAGGGGCATAGGCAAAGTATATTGCTTTGCGTCCGATAGCGTCTCCCCTCGGCCCGTGGATAAGCGTTAATATGGGATGAACTGAACTAGGCTCCGCTGCATGTCCCAGACAATTGCGAACTTGACGTATGCATATGGCGACAGACCAGTGAACGCAAGGTGTGGTACGAATGGGTTGTCGAAGCCTTCTTCCGCAATGGGGGCCAGAGGTGCTGCCTTGGAGCTACTGACCTTCACTCCAGTAAACAGAATGGCTGTCTGATGTAGATTAGTACCCGTACAGTGCTTTGCCCTATCTCGGCTCCGCATGTATTTCTCCATTTCCATGACAAATATAAACCAATGCACCAATATCGCTCCTCTGCCCTCTCGGTGAATGAAATGACGTCCATGCGCGTGTGTATTTTGACTACATGCTATAGCCGCCCAGTCCCGCACTGTACTGTATCAGCGTCCCCATTCGCAATCCCTCCCTTTGCTCGCTCAAGCTGACTAAACTGAGGTGCCAACTGCCCCAAGACCTGGTGGCATGCCGTAACTCGGCTCTGGATGCAGCCTCTCCACCTCCTCCCACCGGTACATGAGAAGTCTTGGCCCGGTTGAACCGAGCTGCCCACAAGTACTCGTACAGCGTCTGTGTGAGTGTGCGACATGATACCAGCACTGCCGGCAGAGCTGACGTCCCGTACCCTTCGTATGATACCATCCACCCAGGACCATAATACTCTCGGTATATAGCCCTCCCCCCCTAGCGAGGCTCCGTTCCATCGTGCGCATTATGTTGCCGGAGGGAACAGCAAGGCTTCGACCAGGATGTACTCGTACATGTATAAGCGGTTGTGGAAACAATTTTATCGCTCAGACAAGAAAAGGCTCAGTTACAGGTAACCTCATGCAGAGAGATAAGATAGACAGATAGATCGATAGATGGTGTAACACCACGGAGAGAGGCGAGCAATTACCAACGACCGACCAGCCCAATTCCTTGCATGGGTTTTTCTGGTTACCCACGATCACTATTTTTACCCCGTCTCGATTTCTAAGGGATGTGAAATGCTTCGGCCGGAGCTGAGAGACGCACGAGCAGATTACACACCGATGGTCCACTCTCTTGGCATGGGTATCCAGGACTGCATGGATGGGCCGGAATCCACTCATGGAGATTTTGCTTTATATCTCGTTTGGATAATCTGCTGGTAAAATTACCCTAATTATGAGTAAACAATTGGTTCCGTCCGTTCCTATGATGGTCTACTCGTATAGTCTGTGAGTACGGATGGATAGTGGCGAAAGGGAAAAAAGAGGGAAAAAAAAGAATGGACCAGTCGGACGGAAGATGGCTTACGGCATCGGGTCACAGATATGACATTATCCAATACTCGTACATTCCCTTTCCCTCCCACTCTTGAATGAAGTTACAAGTAATCGAAGCCGTCCCCGGACAGCTCCGCCATCACGATAGCTCACTCGAATCTACCCTCTGCTTCGGCCAATCGCTCGCTCCTGGTGATGATGTAATGGGGATGAAAATTTCCCACCACCGGATCGTATCGTATCGTATCGTATCGTAACGTAACGTAACGTAACGTAACGTGTCACGCTGTACGAGTAATGTGCAGGGGCCACGCTATCCCCAGTGTCCGCAGTTTGGTCGGTGGATTGTTACTCGCCACGCACTAGATCTGTTCATCTACGGGCTCCTCGGCGCGCACAAGCAAGCGAGCGAGCCAGGAGGATGAGCAATCGGTGCAGCAGTGGGGAACTCGTCGGGGCGGGGCCGATGCGACGCAGATGTGTGTGTAGCAACCCGAGCCCCGCCTGCCGCCCCGACGACATACGAAGAACTTGTGTGTGTGTGTGCTTGCTCCGAAGGGTGGCTTTTCGGCGAATTTCTTTTCTTCTCCTTTCTGCTATCTCCGAATTATCAATGTTTGCACTTTTTCCTCTGCCCATTCGCCTCTGCAGCCTCGGCCTGGGCCCGTCTGTTTTGCTTGCTTCGGCGTGAGCGAGATCCGACATCGCCGAGGCAGGCAAATGAAAAGTGAAGGTGAGGCTCTGGGTGAAACTTTCAGTTTATGATATTCTGGGGTGGGGCATTCTCTCTCTTTTTTATTTTTTATTTCATTTTTTACCCCTCTGCGGCCCTTGGATGGGGGAGAGAGAGGGGGATCTACGCGACGTAGGAAGGGGAAGGGGAGATCTTGCGGGTATGATGTTAGAATGCTCGCCGTGTCATATTTGGCGTTCGGTTCTGATAATTAATTTTGTTCACCGTTGTGGGGCCGTATTACTCTTCCTTCTTTTCCCCGACACCATTCACGCCATGGGGGGATTTGGCTGCCGATTTCGGGCGATTTGCACTTAAGGGGTCTCTCACCGGTCGGGGGAACCTTTGAGAGGAGCCAAAGGGAAAGGTATATCCCGGCGGCGGGAGCGGTGGGGAGCGGGCGTTCCTCGGACTTTCTAAAGGCATGAGCCGACAGCTGACATGTGCTGTGCGCTTCTCGTTTTCTCTTGATACCGTCTGGATTGTAATACCATACACATCATACAGGGGGGGATGAGGGTGATTTCCATTGACTGACATACCTGCCTACCCAGGGTACCCCATGCTCGGGCTTGCATCTCTGCATTTCCTTTGTATGCCTTCCCCCTCTTCACCACTCTCGCCCTCTCCACGGAGAAGGTTGCAGGAGGAAAAGAAAGCAGAGGAGAGAAATGTCAGGGACAGTACGAGTGCAGAATGGCGCCTTAACAGACCCCCAAGCGCAAAGAGGGCGGGGGTTACACGCGGCGGAGGAAAAACGGGGGTACTCGAGTACTGTGCAACCGATGATCGACATGGTACCGGCGGCGGCGTTGAGAGATGGGGTTTCATATGGATGGGCGGCGCTACCAGCAGTGGAGATGACGGCATGTGCACTCCGTGGGGGCTTTACTGGCTGTGTGGTGATGCGGTACCGGTACTTGTATGTTGTTGGGGAGGGGAGAGTAGGGTCGATCTACGGTACGGTACCGTGGTACAAGGGTGCTTGAAAGAACCATGTTGAGAGTGTATGGATGGCGTTACTGGGGCCAATTTTTCACCAAGGTATGCTGATGTTTCACTCGTACAGGTCGACTTCGGGTACTTTGCGAATGTGATAGCGGTGGCCCAGTGCTGGGTCAAGTTACTGCACGGTGCTACTACAGTACTGGTACTCCTCCTGTGCCCGTGCTTTAGGAGTATGACAACCTACTCGAGTACCGGTACTTGGACGCACAAAATCCCAAGCCCACAAGTCCGGGTATAGTGCGGTATGTGGTAACATTGATGCCCTACCGGTGCAGTAACTTGCTGTACTGTTCAAGTATCATACGGCAGTCCACAACCGCCACCGTCACACAGCCTCCGAAAACTACAACTGGCTTATCAATCATGGGATGGTTCTGCCAAGGGCTAGATCCTCCCGCCATTCTCGGTCCAGATGGGCCCGGGGGAGAGTAATGACGGTGATAACTTACTGTGCTGCAGTGAGCTGCTGCGTTCTCCTATGTATGTATGAATGAATGTTTGCGGATGCAAATGCAAATGCATCCCCATTCTTTGCTCATTTCCCTCGTGCCCCAATCTAACAGGGGGCGCGAGTCGTGGAAGGGCTAATCAACTGATTGTGGTACGGAACGGTAACCGCGAATGTGCACGCGCAGTACGGTAGCGTAATATCATTTATTACGGGGCCACAAGCCTTTGAAGAAAAGAAGAAAAAATGAGAAAAGGAGGAAAACTTGGCCAGGGCCCCCGAGGGAAAAAGAAAAGAGAAAGAAAGAAAAAGGGATGAGTTTATCAAGTTCTCGTTGTCCGTGTCCTCGTCTTTGAGGAAAATCGGGACACTGGCGGTGGCGGCGGCTGATGGTGGGTACGGGTGTATATTATCGTGCTTGTAAAAGTTATAGAGAGGCAGGTCTCGTGAGTTGATGTGGGAGTGGGTGAGCCTATGTGACTGAATGGGTCAGGCAGGGAACCATGGAAGATCTTGCCAGTCATGACCTGAGTGTCTTTTCTCTTTTTCCTTTTTTTTTTTTTGCTCGGAGTTCGCGAGCACATCGTGCTGCACCATAGGAGCAAGTGCTGTTGGGTAATACTTTTGGAAGAAACATCTGTCTCATTAGTCCTGCTTTGCAGGAACTTTGTTACAGCCATTATCTATTTTTTTATTATTATTTCCTTTTTCTTATTCTTCCTACCCTCACCTGTGTTCACAAGGGTGGAGTCTCGCTTGCGCTGCTTTGAGCTGGGATTGTGAAAGTTGTAATTCCCATACCTGTATTATTCTTTCTAGAACAGTATTGTGATAATGGGGGGGTTTTTTCCTTTTTCCTTCCCACCCCTCGAGTACTGTACTGTACAAGTACTCGTACAGTAACCACTACTCACTCAACCTTGCCATATGATATGCATCCGCCGCAAAGCATACAATGCCATCCAATAGAACGTGGCCAGTACGTTATTTTTCCCACCCTCCAATCTCGCGAGAACGCTGCGGGACCCGCCAGTTCTTGTACCACGGGAGACACCGCGGGGGAGGGAAAGATGGGAAATTTAATACTCGTACAGGGGAAGCAGAAGAAGGAAATGTACACGATGAGTGAATGAATCCTCCCCGCACATCCATCCACCCATCCATCATGATGCGTGGAAGATTGGTCTCGCTTTGGGTTTGTCCGATTGGTCGAGGGATGTTCCCACCACCGCCGCCCCCTGCCCCGTGTTCTCCACACTCCCTACCGTACCAAGCACCCCTTGAGATTTTTATTATTTTTATTATTATTATCATCATTACCGTATCGCTCGCTCTCTCTCCCTCAATGCGCCCACCGGGGTAGTTTTTTTTTTTTTTTTTTTTTTTGCACTTCACCGTGTTACTGGTATCGTGCAGTACTTGTAACCTGTTCCGGTATTTTTCTCCGACTAGGGGGATCTCCGCAGGAGGAACCCTGATCTTCGATTAATGGGCCCATTGAGTGGCGTGGAGTGTGGGGTGGGGAGTGGAGTGGTGGGACGGAGGGAGGGAGCATGATCCCAATCCTCTCCAATAACTCGACCATGCTTCGCCCGCCTGCATACAGCGATACTCGAGTATAATCAGGCAGACTGGGTCAGGATAATTGCGGGGATCATAGTCGATTGGGAGGAATGGGAATGTCTCTCTCTCTCTTTCCCCTCACTCCCCCCCGCCGCAGTCATCGCTGCCTATTGTGTTTCCCTTTCAGCGCTGTTTTGAATGGCGAAGGATTTCAGGGATCCATCGGGATATTTCGTTTTCTTTCCCTTTCTTTGGCCTGCGCATGAATGAAGGGTTTGCCTCCCCTTCCCCTTTGCGCGGAGATTTGAGCTGCGATAAGGTACAAGTATGATGCTATTATTGCTTTGGTGTAGGCTCCCGTGCACTATACCACTGGTGGACTCCCGTGCAGTACAGCACTCTATGGTACAGTACTCGTGTTTTCCTCACTTATGAGCGCAA